TGAAAAGAACAAAATACCTAGGAATAGACCTAATGAAGGAAGTCAAAGACTATACTCTGAAAATTAGAAGACACTCACAAAAAATTAAATAAGACAACAATAAATGGAAATACATCCTGTGCTCATGGATAGGAAGAATTAAAATATTGTCAAAATGGCCATCCTGCCTAAAGCAATGTACAGATTCAATGCAATCCCTATCAAAATACCAATGGAATTCTTCAACAAACTAGAGAGAATAGTTCTAAAATTCATATGGAGCCATGAAAGACCCCAAATGGCCAAAGCAATGCTGAGAAGGAAGAATAAAGCTGGGGGGATTATGCTCTCCAACTTCAAGCTCTACTAACTAGAAAGCCACAGTAATCAAGACAATTTGGTTCTGTCACACGGACAGACCCATTGACCAGTGGAACAGACTACAGAGCCCAGATATAAACCCACACATATATGGTCAATTAATATACAATAAAGGAACCATGGACATACAATGGGGAAATGACAGCCTCTTCAACAACTGGTGGTGGCAAAACAGGACAGCTACATGCAAGAGAATGAAACTGGATTGTTGTCTAACTCCACCCTCACTTTTCGACAGTTATTCTTCTATATCAAACAGGAATTTTTAGACATAATAACATATTACAATCATAAGCCCTAGTTGTAAACACTAATACGGTCTCAATACATATTTTTGGAGTTACAATCATAGGCAGAAACAATGACATGTAGATTCAAGAAAAAAACACTTGTAACTAGGATCCTTGTTACCCACACTCTAGAGTATTATCAGAATTTTCACTAAATACTCTGGGAATCCCTAAAGCAATTTCCCCAGAATACAGTGGGATACACAAGATCTTCTTTTAATATCTGAAATATCAAAAGACTTTCAAATCTCCTGACAAACAAAATACCAGGACCAGACAGCTGCACTCATGGTGAATACCAGGACCAGACAGCTCCACCAAACATTTGAAGAAGAATTAATACAGAAACTTCTCACACTCCACAAAAATAGAAGTGGAGAAACACTTCTCAACTCATTTTAAGAGGCCTTGAAAGCCAAAAAACTGCAAGCCAATATCCCTCATGAACACAGAAGGAAACCCTCCAAAATGCTAGCAAAATGAATTCAACCATATATTAAAAGGATCACACATCATAATTAAGAGGGATTTATTCCAGCAATGCAAAGACGGTTCCACATCCACAAGTCAGTCAGTGTTACACACCAGGTTAAGAAAGTGAATGATAAAAACCATATGATCATATCAAGAGATACAGAAAAAGCATCTGAGAAATGCTTCAAGATTACCCAGGCAAGATGGATTCACTGCTGAATTTTATCAGACATTTAGAGAAATGCTTCAAGATCTATTCATGACAAAGTACGTATACAGGGAATATACCTGATCATAATAAAAGTTACATGTGGTAAGACAACAGCTACCATCATCAACAATGTGAAAAATGGAAACCTTTTCCTTTAAGATCAGCAACAAGACAAGGGTTGTTTTTTTTTATTCAACAGAGTACTGCAAGTCCTAGGCAGAGCAATGAGGCAAGACAAAGAAACAAAACGCACCCAAATTAGAACAAAAAAAGCAAAACCATCATTATCTGTATATGACATACTATATATATATATATACCCTGAAGGCTCAAAAAGCTATTACATCTAACTGAATGAAGTCAACAATATTGAGAATGTAAAATCAATATACAAAACTCAGCTGTGTTTCTACACACTAATAGTGAACTATCAGAGATATTAAGAAAATACTCCCATTTATAACTGCATTGAAAATAATAAAATACCCACGAATAAATCTAACCAATGAGGTGAAAAGTCTGTATGCTGAAAACTATACGACACTGATGAAAGAAGTTGAAGAATATGTAAAGAAATGGAAAGAGTCTGTGCTCATAGACTGAAACAATTATCATCACATACTACTCAAAGCAATCCACAGATACAATGGAACCCCTTATCAAAAACCCAGTGGCATTTTTCATGGAACTAGAACAAACCTAAAATGTGTATGGAACCCCAAAAGGCTGAATATCCAAAGCAATCTTGAGAAAGAATGACAAAGCTGGAGGCGTCAAGCTCTCTGATTTCAAACTATATTAATAAAGCTATAATAATCAGAACGGTAGAGTACAGACACCTAGATCCACGGAACAGAACAGAGAGCTTGGAGATAAACCCAGTCACAGAGGGTTAATTAACTTACAACAAAGGAGCCAGGAATATACAGTGGGAAAGGACAGTCTTTTCAACAAATGGCTGGGAAAACCCCACAGCAAAATAACAAAGCTGGATGATTATCTTAGACCATACACAAAAATCAACTCAAAATGGATCAAAGACTGAAACATTAAGACCTGAAATCATAAACTTCCTACAAGAAAACATAGAGGGTAAGCTCACTGACACTGGTCTTATTGATGGTTTTTTGAATTTGACACCAAGAGTGAAAGAAGGCCACAAAAGTAAAAAGAAAAAGTAGGATTAGATCAAACTAAAAGGCTTCTGGTACAGCAAAGGAAGCAATCAACAAAATAAAGACAATCTATAGAATGAGAGAAAATATTTCCAAATCACATATCTGGTAAGGGATTAATATCTAAAATACAGGAAGAATTAATACAATTCAGTAGGGGAAAAAAGTCACCAAACAACCCCATTACAAGATGGGCAGGGAGGTAAATACACATTTTCCAAAGAAGACATACAAATAGCCAACGGGTACATGTAAAGGTGCTCAACGTCACTGTCACTAATCATCAAGGAAATGCAAATCAAAACCACAATGAGATATCACCTCATACCTGTTAGAATGTCTATTATCAAAAAGGCAAGTAATACCAATGTTGGAGAGGATGTGGAGTAAAGGGCTCCCTTTCGGTGCACTGTTAGAATGTAAATTGGTTCTGCTACTATCTAATACAGTTAACGAGCTTCAAAAAAAATAAAAAAATTGTATGATCCAACAATTCCACTTCTGAGTATTTATCCAAAGGAGGTGAAATCACAATCTTAAAATACCTGCTCTGAATTCGTGCCTCATATCGAATTTACCGAGTATCATAATTCCTCCAGGTGGTAAAGATACCTCGAGACAAGTGCTGGGCATAGAAGCCACAGGGCATAAATCTGCAAAGAAGTAAAAAGCTAACCTTTTCAAACAATATGGCTTCTCTCTCACTTACCAACTTTACATTTCCCTGTATGGCCCCGGAAGATGACTGGTTAGCCAGAGACGGGTAAGATTCCTCAAGGGAGGAACAACCTAAGACAGGCACAGTCGCAGGGGGGCCATCAGGTGAGAATTTGGGGATCAACAGAGGTGAGGCTCAGAACCTCACCCCCCCTGCTTTGAGAGAAATCTTCTGCATCCGTGGATGTCTTGCTGTCCTTGTCTAGCCTGGATTAATACTTAGTCCATAGGCACACACCTGATCATCTGATCATCTACATTTGCCTTCTTACAGCACTAAACTATGTTTTCTACCTTTATCTTGCATCTACCTACCACTTCAGCATTTTATTAAAAATAAAAATAATAATAATAATAGGAGAAATGTGGGATCAACATATAAATCAAGTACAAAAATCAAACGAATATTCATATTTGACCTGATTGTTTATAGGTCATAATGCATGATCAAAACCGAAAGTTTCTGTGATGAATGCCCTTGTACTGTTCACCATGTAAGAATTTATTCACTATGTAAGAATTCGTTCACCATGTAAGAACTTGTTCGTTATGCTTCAGAAGATTGGAGACTGATGAGAATTAGGCTTGAGATGGATTAATGATTGTACATTGAGCATTGACCCCCCCATACTGAATTTTATTGTTGTTAACAACCATTTGATCAATAAATATGAGAGATGCCCTCTCAAAAAACAAAAACAAAAACAAAAAACAGCAAAAGGAACAAAATATAAGCAAATCGAAACTCATTAAACATCATTGTTCCTTTCTATGGATCATTATTCTGAAAATTCATAATTAAAGACCCCCGAAATAAGAGCATTTATTGGGCCTTTCCAGTATGAACTCTATCCAGAGAAATCAAAATCTTGATGTTAAAAAGTATTGTTGCTGAAATTTTGTTGTGAGGTTTAAATGGTAATAATGAGATTTAAATTTATTCATTATTTTGCTTTTTTGAGAATGCTGTATATTCAGCTGCACTGTGAAGTCATTCTGCTATTTTCAAGCCAGTTTAAAATTTTCTTCTTGCTTAACTGTATGTTATATATAGTATAATAAATTTTACTCATGTTAAAAAAAAAAATACCTGCTCTGTTCACTGCAGCATTGTTTACAATAGCCAGGACACAGAAACAATCTAAGCGTCCACTGATGGAATGGATAAAGAAAATGTGTGTGTGTGTGTGTGTACATATATATATATACATACACAGAACGGGATATTATTCAGTTACAAAACTATGTAAATTCTGCCATTTGTAACATCATAGATGTACCCTAAGTGAAATAAGTCAAATACTGTGTGATATCATTTACATTTGGAATCTAAAACAAAACAAAACAAAAAAGAGAGAATTCGTACATATACAGAACAGATTGTTGAAGACCAGACAAGGCGGGCGTGAGGGGTAGGGGTAGGCCCCATGGGTGAAGGACAAAAGTTACCAACTTCCAGTTACCAGACGCAGAAGTCCTGGGCTGTAATATATAGTATGGTGCCTATAGCTAACAATGTTGTATTTGTAGATTTTAAATGCTGAGAGAGTATGTATAAAAGTTCTCATCCCAAGAGGAAAAGACTCCTAACTATACACAGTGAGGGATGCTAACTAAACTTACTATTGTCATCATTTCACAATGTGTAATACATGTATCAAATCCTTATGTTGTACATGTACACCTAAAACTAACACAATGCGATATGTCAATATATCTCAATTATAAAACCGTAATTTTAGAATTATCTAGCAGCACTTAAAAACTTAACAATTATAGGAGCGCCATGCGGGCGGCGGGCGCAGGCAGGGCCAAGGGCGCCTCGGAGCGGTGCCAGGCGGCGGCGAGGGATGGGCGCGTCGGGCACGGGGAGCCGTCGGCGGCAGCTCGCTGCAGGGGCGCCCCGGTGGCTGTGCTCTCGCCGCCGGGCGCAGGCCTTCGGGGAACCTCGAAGGCGGCGGCGGCGCGGGGGCGAGGCGGGCCGCCGCTTCCCGGGGAAGGAGGCGCCGGCGTCTGGGCGAGGCCGGGCGGGGAGACCTTACCTCGCGCGACACCCGAGCCCACGCCCGCCTCGCTCGTCCCGGCGGCCCCACCCGCCCGCTCCCGCTGCCTCCCCGGCCCAGAGGGTCGCTGAGCTCGGCCCGGAGGTGGGCCCGGGCGGCGGGGCCTCGGCGCCCACGGCGGTCTCAGGGTAGCGAGGGCGGGAGGGTGCGCGCGCGCGTGGGCAGTGGGGGCCGGCGGGGCTGCCGCGCAGGCGCTGTGGGAGAGTGACCTCGGTGTCAGCGCCGTGCGCTGCCTGAGCGGGGAGGCCGAGGAAGCCCAGCGGATCGACCTCGAGAGAGCGCGGCAGCTCCGCAGGGACGCGCGGGACGCCCGGCGGGAGCTCCAGCTGCTGCTGCTCGCCTCTTCGATCTTACCGGATGAAGACAGACCGGAATTGCTGACTGACCTGCAGATGGTCACACACTTACTCGATACCAAGCGTGCAATCCTTTCACCTTTTTGTTAGGCAGGAAAATAGATGTGAGCCGGGTGGAAGGAGAACAAGGTCAGTAAAGCCCACTGGAAAGGATTCAGTTAACTAGTTAAAACCAGAAATGCAGAAAAGACTCAGAGTTAATGAGTTAATCAGTTAAAGTTCAAAAGGTGAAGAGCAACTTGGCGTTGAACGTTTGAATATCCCCCAGATAAAAATACCTGAGCATAGCCCATGTCTTCATTGTGTCAATTAGACCACTTTAAATTTACTCCAGCCTGATAAAGTGCCCACCTATAAACAGCATGATAAAGACGGGGAGGTCCCACCTTAAAGCCAAAATTGCATTTAAAAAAACCCCAGAAAGTTTAAGAAGAAAGATTCTTCACACACTCGTTAGCAAATCACAGATAACTCTGCCCACCTTGGCGGAAGGGCGGACAGTCTTGACTGATAAGCTAATTTTGCAGCATTACTTAGAGGGCTGACTGATAGGAAACTTAACATTTCATCAAAGAGACTTGAGACCACTTAACAAGCCCGCACCCTGGGCCTTTGTCACAGTCCTGAAAAATCCTTAAAGGGGGAACCCCCAACCTGTCAGGGTGCTCCTCTCTCTCTCTCTCTCTCTTTTTAATTTACTCATTCACGAAGTATTTATTAAGCACCTACTATGTACCAACGAGTCCATCAGAGGTTGGGACACACCGCAGGCACGATCCCTGCTCTCATGAGATTCACAGCCTAGTGTGGGCAGGATGTTAACTCTTACAAATCGTTTATTTAACACTGCAGTGAACACCATGGAGGAACAACTCAGAGTGTCTTGAAGCCAGGTGACATGACCTAGTAGGAGGGGATCAGGGAGGGCTTTTCAGAGGAAGGGGCATTTACACTGAGAACTGAAGGACGAGGAGGAATTAGAAGGGAGAAGAGCCTTTCAGGCAGACAGAACAGCATGGTGGAAACACAGGCCTTGAGAATTACACGGAAGGCCAGTGTGGTGGGTGAGGCTGGCCAGTGCCCAGAATGTGCTGGGTTCAGTGGCTTGTTTACAGTGTGGGCTTCATGTGGAGGGAAATATGGAGCCAAGGAAGGCTCAGGGTTCAGCTGAGAAGTGAGCTGCTCTGACATCATCCACCAGCCACCTTGAACTTGGGATCTTAGGAAGTGAAGGCTCCCTGCCAGCCAGGGATGGCCAGGGGGTGTCCATGTCCAAGAAAGTCATGGAAAACACAGCGGTGGCTCCATGCCCCATTTTGGTGAACTGCACCCACATCCGACAGCCCAGCAGAACAGAACCCGCATGGGCTCTGAGAAGGGAACCAAGGTTCACTGGACAGGCCATGAGAGTCCCTGCCAAACTGCATTAAGCCTCCATTTCCCCATGAAAAGTGGGCTTGGGATAAGCCTTACTTCCTGGAGACACCGTGAGGGTGAAGGTAAGTCACATGGGCACAGGACATGTTCAATAACTGTGAAGCAGGGGCCGGCTGGGTCTCTTCTTTGCAGCGTCTGCCTCTGCACACCGAGGCCACCAGCTGCTCTCACCTGTATACTCTGGCTCTGCCGCTTCCCTTGCTTAGGCACAGCCTCCCCCTCTCTGGGCTTGCTTCCCCCTGATAAAGCAAGGGATTTGGGTGGGGTGAGCTCCACCAAGCCGGGCCAGGTGGTTCTTGAACTGTAGTGAGGTCAGATCCAAGCAGGGGTCCTGTCCCAGACAAGCACTCTTGGTCCCCACACCTCAGAGCGTGTAACTTAGAGTGTGTAACTCACTTTTCCCAACATTTCAGGGTGCTCCTCTCTCTGAGGTCGCCCACACTTTGTAAGTGTGTAACCTTTTAATCTTAAACTCTTTGTCTCCAGCCTCTCAGGGCGGTCCTCTCTCTCTGAGGTCGCCTGCACTTCTCTCTAAGTAACTTTAAATAAAACTTTTACTCTGCTTCACTCCTGTGTCTCTGCCCTTCAATTCTTTGTCATGGTGGGGACAAGGACCGCGGAATATACGGAACGCCTCTGCCCCAACACCTTGATAGCGGTGGTGCTCCCGCTTCCCTGACTTGTTCTTCCCGTCACCTCCCTTTCTCTGAATTCTAGCTCTAGCTGCCTTAGGTTGTCCTGGAAAATGCCATGCCCACTGGAGAGTGATCACACCAACCTGGATGGTTTTAGGCTTGGTGATTTTTCTCAATCAAAGTCTTCTAACACCTCACAATTGTCTATTTATAATCACTCTGATATGCAGAAAGAGCTTGGAAGTCATCATATCCAGTCTTTCAAGGAAAAGCTGGACAAACTGACCCAAACAAGAAATGACGTTGCGGTGGAAATTGCAAGTGCAATCATTACACTGAAATCGAAGAGAAAGGCACATGCAGTCACAGCTGACATTTGCTCCCCTGGAACAGAATCTTCCAGAGCAGTAAACTGGAAATACACCAGATTCTCACAAGGATCAGAGAATGATCCAAGAGGGTGGAAGACAAATCACTGTGAAATACACCCAGACAGTTCTCCACGAGAAAGCTTATCCTCCTGGGAAAAAACTTGTACTCAGTACGGTCATTCCAGCTGGGAGAAGAGATTTCTTCCTACTCCAGTGCCCTCTAGACTTCATTTCTCATCTAAGCTTGGTTTTAAAAAGAAAAGCTAAAGCACTGGAGAAGCATTTTTGAAGGTCATGGACCAAAGATAGAGACTCAGTAAAAAAAAGAAGATTCATTCATAAGGTTATAGGACGTTTCCCCTCCCTCACAGCTTACCGTGACACCAGCAGGGCTCCAGGATCAGTGGGTTACAGCTGACGAGTGTTAGGACCCAGACTCTGAGGAGGAAGGCTTAGGGGAGCCCAGTGTTAAGAGGAAGACAAAAAACAGGGACATAAGAGGAATGTAAAAACTCTAGAGTCTACAAAGTCCAATAAATACTGAACACAGCCCAACCTCTGGCCAGGTAAAACCCTTGTTATCTACTGAGTTCCTATAACTGGGTACAAAATGTCTTTCAACAAAAGATATCGAGGCATACCAAAAGGGAAAGAAAAGACATGGTCTGAAGAGGCAAAGCAACCATCAGAACCAACTCAGATGTGACACAGCTTTTAGAATTATCAGAGAGAATTTAAAATAACTAGGACTAATATGTTAAGGGTTTTATCAGAGAAAGCAGTTGTCCAGAATCGTGGCCATTGGAAACCTCACTTTATCCACAGCAGTAGATGAAAACCTAAAGAAAAATCTGAATAAAGTGTGGACATTACTTCACTATACTGTATCAATATTTGTTCATTGATGAAAATGAATATACTATACTAATATGTTAAAAGGAAGAGAAACTGAGTGTAGGGTATAGGAGAACTTTTGTACTATCTTTACAATTTTTGTATAAATCTAAAACTATTGTAAAATAGAAAACATGTTTAAAAATTTAAAAAGTCTTGCAATTACATACATAGCTGCAATATATACAATTATAGATTACATTAAAGGCTATGAAGGATAAAAGCAAAAAGGATGGGAGAATAATTTAAATAGGAAATGGTAGCTAGAGAAGGCTCCTGTGAGGATGCTTCAAAATGAAGTAAAAGTGAGCACACACCAAAAAGACAGCAGGTGAAAAACATTCTGGCTGAGAGACCATCGTGTAGGTAACACCACCCTTTACCAATCCACCTACACGTACAGTTATTTCAGGTGCAGTAACAGAACCACCCCTCCTTCTTTTAAATAAAAGTTCCTCTACTGGTATAAACTAAGTAAAACCCATCTGTTGTGTTCCAATACACTGATGATGAACTAGGAGAAAGAGAAATCAGGAAAACAATTCCATTCACAATTGCATCAAAAAGAATCAAATACCTAGGAATACACCTAACCAAGGAAGTGAAAGACCTATACCCTGAAAACTATGAGACACTCTTTAAGAGAAACTAAAGAGGACACTAATTAATGGAAATTCATCCCATGCCCTTTAGGAAGAATTAATATTGTCAAAATGGCCATCCTGCCTAAGGCAATCTGCAGGTTCAATGCAATCCCTTTCAAAATACCAACAACGTTCTTCAATGAACTGGAACAAATAGTTTCAAAATTCATATGAAAGCACAAAAGACCCCAAATAGCCGAAGGAATCCTGAGAAGGAAGAAAAAAGCAGGGGGGATCTCGCTTTCCAACTTCAAGCTCTACTACAAAGCCACAGTAATCAAGACAATTTCGTACTGGCACAAGAACAGACCTATAAACCAGTGGAACAGGACAGCAAGTCCAGATATTAACCCAAGAATATATCATCAATTAATATATGACAAAGGAGCCATGGATATGCAATGGGGAAATGACAGCCCCTTCAACAGCAGGTGTTGGCAAAACTGGACAGCAACATGTAAGAGAATGACACTGGATCATTGTCTAACCCCACACACAAAAGTAAACTCAAAATGGATCAAAGACCTGAATGTAAGACATGAGACCATAAAACTCTTAGAAAAAAACATAGGCAAAAATCTCTTGGACATAAGCATGAGCAATTTTTCATGAACATATCTCCATGGGCAAGGGAAACAAAAGCAAAAATGAACAAGTAGGAGTATATCAAACTAAAAAGCTTCTGTACAGCATAGACACCATCAGTAGAACAAAAAGGTATCCTGAACCATGGGAATATATATTCATAAATAACATATCTGATAAGGGGTTGACATCCAAAACATATAAAGAGCTCTTGCACCTTAGCAAACAAAAAGCAAAAAATCCAATTAATAAATGGGCAGAGAATCTGAACAGACACCTCTCCAAAGAAGAAATTCAAATGGCCAACAGACACATGAAAAGATGTTCCACATCCCTAATCATCAGAGAAATGGCAATTAAAACCACCGTGAGATATCACCTCACACCAGTTAGGATGGTAACCATCCAAAATTCAAACAACAGCAAAAGTTGGCGAGGATGTGTAGAAAGGGGAACCCACCTATGCTGCTGGTGGGAATGTAAATTAGTTCAACCATTGTGGAAAGCAGTATGGAGGTTCCTCCAAAAACTAAAAATAGAAATACCATTTGACACAAAAATTCCAACACTGGGAATTTACCCTAAGACTGTAGGAGTCCAGTTGGAAAAAAACACATGCACCCCTATGTTTATCGCAACACTATTTACAATAGCCAGGAAATGGAAGCAACCTAAGTGTCCATCAGTAGGTGAATGGATAAAGAAGATGTAGTACATATACACAGTG